AATATTTCCATTAAGAACAGGAACAAGACAGGGATGTCCACTTTCGCCACTCTTATTTAACATTGTACTGGAAGTCTTAGCCACAGCAATCAGACATGAAGAAAAAATAAAAGGGATCCAAATTGGAAAGGAGGAAGTGAAACTGTCATTATTTGCAGATGACATGATATTATACATAGAAAACCCTAAAGACTCCATCAAAAATCTACTAGACTTAATAAATGAATTTGGCAAAGTAGCAGGATACAAAATTAACGTCAAGAAATCGACGGCATTCTTGTACACCAATGATGAACTCACAGAAAGAGAAACTGGAAAAACAATCCCATTTACCATCGCGCCAAAAAAATTAAGATACCTAGGAATAAACTTAACCAAAGAAGTAAAGGACCTATTTGCAGAAAACTACAGGTCATTGAAAAAAGAAATAGAGGAAGATATAAAAAAGTGGAAGCACATACCCTGTTCATGGATTGGAAGAATTAACATCATTAAAATGTTCATACTACCCAAAGTAATCTATAGATTCAATGCAATCCCCATCAAAATACCAACGACATATTTCATAGAACTAGAACAAATACTTCAAAAGTTCATATGGAATCAAAAAAGACCCCGAATAGCCACAGCAATCTTGAAAAAGAAGGACAAAGTAGGTGGGATCACAATACCAGATATCAGGTTATACTACAAAGCAACTGTAACCAAAACAGCCTGGTACTGGCACAAGAACAGGCATATAGACCAGTGGAACAGAACTGAAAACCCAGAAATGGACCCAAGGCAATACGCTCAATTAATATTTGACAAAGGTGGCAAGAGCATACAGTGGAGTAAAGACAGCCTCTTTAATAAATGGTGTTGGGAAAATTGGACAGCTACATGCAAAAAATGAAACTAGACCATCAACTTACACCATACACAAAAATAAACTCAAAATGGATAAAAGACTTAAATGTGACCCGTGAATCCATAAAAATTCTAGAAGAAAATGTAGGCAACAAAATTTCGGACATCATACAGAGCAGAATTTTCACTGATACATCACCTAAGGCAACAGAAACAAAGGAAAAAATGAACACATGGGACTACATCAAACTAAAAAGCTTCTGCACAACAAAAGAAACAATCATCAAAATGGAAAGGCAACCCACTGTATGGGAGAACATCATTGCCAATGATGTATCAGATAAGGGGTTAATTTCCAATATATATAGAGTGCTCATACAACTCCACAAAAGGAAGACAAAGAACCCAATTAAAAAATGGGCAGAGGAGCTGAATAGACACCGCTCCAAACAGGACATACAAATGGCCAAGAGACATATGAAGAAATGCTCAATATCACTAATCATCAGAGAGATGCAAATTAAAACAACAATGAGGTATCACCTCACACTAGAATGGCCGCCATCAACAAATCATCAAACAACAAGTGTTGGCGAGGGTGTGGAGAAAAAGGGACTCTAATACACTGCTGGTGGGAATGCAGACTGGTGCAGCCACTGTGGAAAACAATATGCTGTTACCTCAAAAAATTAAAAATTGAACTGCCATTTGACCCAGTGATCCCACTGCTAGGAATATACCCTAAGAAGCCTGAAACACCAATCAGGAAGAATATATGTACCCCCATGTTCATAGCAGCACTATTTACAATAGCTAAGATCTGGAAACAGCCCAAGTGTCCATCAGTAGACGAATGGATAAAAAAGCCGTGGTACATATACACAATGGAGTACTATGCAGCGGTAAGAAAGAAAGATCTCTTATCCTTTGAGACGACATGGAGGGACCTGGAAAGTATTATCCTAAGTGAAAGAAGCCAAGCAGAAAAAGACAAATATCACATGATCTCACTTATATACGGAATATAATCAACATAACAGTCTGAGGAATACGGTAGACCCAGAAACATGGAAGTAGGGCACAGACTGACATCCCTCAGAAGAGGGGGTGGGGGAGTGGGAAGAGATAAACCACAGAACTCATATGCATGTATGCATGACCAATGGACATGGACAACTAAGCCGGGGATGGGGCGGGGGTGGGGGTGGGGGTGGGAGGGGGGTGCCAATAGGGTAAAAAAGGTGAAATATCTGTAACAAAAAAAATAAATAATAAATAAATTTAAAAAAAGAAAAAAAATGAAATATAAAAGTACATGTGAAAAAGGTTGGAAAAAAATGTTTTTAAATAAGAATAATGGTAGATTTGAGGTAATAAAATTATAATAGTATGGGTAATTTTTTTCTTGAATTTATGTATTTTCTGAAACATGGTATTATTTTGATAATTCTTAAATACAGGCATAAACTAAAAACAAAATGTATATTCTACTAAGGAAAGCCAAACTTAAACTTGATTAAATGCTTAGACAATGGTCCTTCTGCCAAAATGTCAAAATCATGGAGATTCCTTATTGTGATGAACTATTCACACTATCAGGAAAGGGAGTAAGTTGATACCCAGGGACTAGCATTATTGGAAACTGTACTGTCCAGGGATCAGGGATAGAAGAATTTTCATCATTGTGGCATTCCCTTTTCCCCATAGATTCCACTTCACAACATCTCAACTCCCACAGTACAAGGGAAGCTGGATGACAAGGGAAATGAATTGTCTCTGAGAGAAGCGAAGGCCTCTCATAGCTGAACCTGCTTTCCCTTCTTCTAGGTCAACAGAAAAATCCCAGTTGTGTCTCGTCTGTACACATAGTTCTCAGCTCTACGGAGCACAATCAGTTTTTAAAATAAGCTTCATAGAGAATCAACACTTTTTAAAAAATTACATATACCCAAGCCTGCGTAGCCTCAGTGAATAAGAATTTCTGTTGCAGGTGGTCAAACCTTTGTGTTTCAAAAAAAAATGACTCAAGTGATGAAGGAGCACGATACAAAGGCAGGAGAACTCTAAGGGCAGAGAGAGCATTGAAGGAACTTGGAAACTGAAGGACAGGAAAGGAAATCAGATGAATCTCACACAAAAAATTAGAAACTAACTTTCTTTCACCTGCCATGCAAAAAAAAGTACCATTTTTCACAGGAAAAAAAAAGGACAGAAAGACTGTTTTATGACTTAGATCATTATTGCTCTAAGTTAAGCTCTATTTACCAACCAGAATTTGAAGGGTAAAATTCTCTCTAAAAGCATATTTATAAACGGGTTTTATATTTTGTTCCACAGATAAAAACATCTTAGTTTGTGTAATTAATTATAAGAAGCAATGTGTGATTAGAATCTACATAAAAGTAATGACACCATAAACAAATCACTAACTTGAGAACTAAATGTGTATAAATATCAGCAGCACTTTCAACTAGTAAAAGAGATTTTAATGAAACAAATACCTTAACAGTGATTTTGATAAAACAAAAGATGGCTGAATCCTCAACTCAGAAAATGTATTTAAGCCCACAGCACCATCTAGTGCTGATCAGTAGGAAGCAGAAGGTAATAATTTCCTGGTAATAACTCTGCTGATGTATCACACACATTAACTTCATGTTAAGCGACAAGTCCAACAACTACAAGTAAAAGACTTGTGTCTTTCTATGTGTAAGCATTATGAAATAAAATAAACTAGTCACTAATTTGAAATACATAAAAAAAATAAGATTTTGGTTAAATAAACCAAAACATTTTAAAAAACAACAAAAACTTGTGGTAAATAATCCAGTCTTAGTTCTGTACTAAATTCCAAAGTCAGTGACTATTCTTTCAACAGCTCCAAAGAATTCAAAGTTGAACCATAAAACTTCTAGCAAGTGGAATAACGCTTTTATTATATAACACAGTTAGGTGTGAGATGGATGGTACTTCTCCTCCTCCAATTATAAAGCATTGTGAAGATGCTATCACTTCTCATTGATGTCCACCTACCATCCGTTTAAAGCTCCTCAAAGACTTCAGCCATGTTTTATTTGTGTTTCTTTTTATAACTCACTTACCTCACAGGGAGCTTGATAGAAACACAATGCTCACTGGACAAAATTTATGAAAAAAAAAAAATCATCGATTCATGTAATCATGGTCTGTAATAGCATTGACTGTTTTTAGCAAGCTTTACTACATATGTTAAAGACATGGAGGAACAACAGTTAATATACCAAGAATATTATATAATACCTCATTTAACTTTCACAGTAAATCTATTTTACAAGTGAAAGCATAGCAAAGACATAAAACATCTCAGGAAGTGTGTTTAGATTTCCTGAGATCACACTGCCAGCCAGCGGTGGAGCTAGGACTTGAACCTGCATCTGTCTGACTTTGAAGTCCATGCCCTTCCCACCAGACCAAGTCAATGTAAGTTCAAGCAGAACACCCTAAAAGAATCAAGGATACAACTTTATTTTTTATATAACATCAAAGAGCATGTTGTTGATTATCCAAAAGCGGAAAGGCTAATATTTAAAATATAAATTAGGTGGAACCAAATGCTTGTGAGGAAACTAAATCTCAAGTTATAGCCACATTTAAGCTGAGTTCATTCTTCAATAAATGGAAGAGCTCATTCTTCAATAAATACATAAAAATGTTTGACTTACAATATGGCAGAAATTGTCATTTGTTTTCATCAGAAGAATTCCCCACTTACTTGGAAGAACTTTGGAAAAAACCTCTAAATTCATCATCTCAAAATGTCCTCATCCCCACCATTGGCTGAGCGTAACTTCTACCCTGTTCAAGTGTCACTCTAGAATGTCAGCATATAGTCATATAGCCATGGTGATGAAGATACATACTTAGAAATACTTCTCTACTGTTTCTCTTTACTATATATGTGGGTCCATAGGGAGCATAAAGGGAAATAGCATAAAAAGAAAAAGATCATGAAGAAACGAAGTATAATTAAGACATCAGAATACTAATCCCAGTGTTCTGTGATTATAAATTAGACTAGTCAAGCCCTAAAAGCAATCAAAGCATCCATCATTCTAGTCATAAAAGTACTTCGGTCGCTTTGCCTGAGGTGATGATCATAGTAGACAACATACCTTGACATCTGAAATAAATGGAGCAGGTTTCAGCGTCACAGAACAGTGAGTTCGGGATAGCAGGATGGGTGGAGGAGGGATTCTGCTTTTCTTCCTTTTTGAACTGTCCACATTTTTCTGATACAAATATAGGGCATTTTGTTCTGCTTCAATCTTTTCAATTAGAGAATATGCTTCCTATAATAAAGTGTGAAACCAGAAAAATATATTTCTAAAATGTTTTTTATTGATTTTTTGTTTTGTTTTGTTTTTTGTTTGTTTGTTTGTTTTTTTGAGAGAGAGGAAGGGAGAGAGGAAGGGAGAAAGAGAAACACTGATCAGCTGCATCCCGCACATCCCCTGCTGGGGATTGAGCCTGCACCCAGCCATGTGCCCTAACCAGGAACTGAACTGGGGGCCGATGCTCAATCCACTGAGCAACATCAGCCAGGCCAGAAAAATATATTTCAAGAGCTTTAATTTCATTTACATTTGTAGTGATGTTAAACAACACTATCTCACTTTGTACAGTTCTTTGAGCCTTGGTGGTACGTATATTTCAAGCACTGAATGATTTTATAGGAATAAAAAGAAACAACTACTAAATAAGGCTAGTAAAAAATAATTAATTATTAAATAAGGCAACAGTATCATGTTTATGTCTAATATGCTTATCATTATCATATATTAATATGAAATATTTCTTTTTTTTTAATCAGACCCTTTGAATGTCTAATGTCATATTTCATTGTCATTAAAAAGTTCATAACACAGGTGAAAATGGAGGCAGAGTAAATGGAAGCTACACAGACAATCTCCCAGGACCAAACACAAATTACAACTAAAATAAAGACAAATCCTTGGAAAAAAAACAACAGAAAAGCAGCAGGACAGGACCATACAACCAAGGACACTGGTAGGATATGTGTAGGCATGAGAGGGTAGCGGGCTGGGAGCCCATGGACAGCAGCAGTCTTACCTGTGAGCAGCGTCCTTGGGGAATAAAGACCAAGCCCGCTCCACAGCACAGACAGCTGGGACAGAGCACTGAAATAGCCACAGCCACTCACCTGGGGGCTACAGCAGAGGGAGGGCAGACTGGGCTGGAACTCTGTGGGGACACCCGGGATGTGGAGGGCACTCAGAGTTTTTGCTGAGTTGCAGCCACAAAAAAACAGTGGCCAGTGTGCTCCTTCCCAGAGCTGTGGGGAAAAGTAGCAGCCCCCACTAGGAGATTCAGCCTTTCCCAGGTGAGGCAAAGAAATTCAAATTGAGGCCCATTAACAACCAGCATCTATTCCACCATCTGGAAATCCTCTTATGCAGAACACCAGGACTACATTCCAAGGCCCTGAGTAACTGAGACTACTAGCCTCCAGGAAAAAGCTAGAGGATAACTGAACCTTTCCTGGGCTTGCAAATTCTACCCAGGAAAGTAAGACTTTACAGTGGTGTTTAATGTGGGCCCACCCAGGCTCATCCAAACCCAGTAGAGGAAGCCACAAACAGCAGAACACCAACACCCACAGGGAAAATTTGGCAGGCTCCAAAACCCACTGAGATAGCCAAAATGGTGAAACAAAAAAACAAATCCCAAATGAAACAAGAGAACTCTATCGAAGATGAGATCAATGAAATGCAGTTAAGCAAATTATCAGAGGTAGAGTTCAGAGCCATGATTTTGAGGAAGCTCAACAGCATGAGTAAGGACATCAGCACCATGAGCAAAGATATAGAAACACTGAAAACCAACCAAGTGGAAATAAAGAATAACATAGCAGAAATAAAGAACACATTGGAAGGACTAACCAGCAGAGTAGAGGAAGCTGAGGACCGGATCAGTGAATTAGAAGACAGAGAAGAAAAAATCAACCAATCAGAAAACCAAAAGGAAAAAACAGGAAGATAGCTTAAGAGAACTGTGGGACAACTGGAAATGTAATAACATTTGCACCATAGAAGTCCCCAAAGAGGAAGAAAATGGGCAAGGGTTAGAGAATATATTTGAAGAAATAGTGACAGAAAACTTGCCTAACTTGGTGAAGGAAGAAGGCATTCAAGTTCAAGAAGCACAGTGAGCCCCAAGTAAGAAGAACCCAAACAGGTCCACACCAAAAAACTCAAACACAGGAATAATAATGGAAGAAACTAGAAAATATATCCCCCCAAAAAGACTTCCCACAAAATTGTCAGGCTCAACTGATTTCATTTAAAAATATTTCAAATATCAAGGAACTAATGATTCATATTCCATTTTTTAAATTTCTAACTACAGAGACAGCTTCTCAAATAATTTTACAAATTTATTATAACTGATAACAAAATCTGAACTATGACTGCACTTAAAAACACAGAGCAATCTTCTTACAGTATAATACTGAATCATGAAGATATAGAAATATGAACAGACCAATAACAACATGATGATCAGTAATCAAAAATCTCCTAATAAAGAAAATCATAGGATCAGCTGCTTTCACTGGTGAATTCTACCAAAAATTTAAAGAATAATTAATGCCAATCTTTTCCAAACTCTTCCAAAAACTTGAGGAGAAGGGGACACCAAACTGATTTTACGAGATCAGTGTTACCATGATACCAGAGCCAGAAAAGGACACTACAAGAAAACTATAGACTGATATCCCTGATGAACAGAGATGCAAAATCTTTAACAAAATATTAGCAAACCAAATTCAACAACATATCAAAAGGATCATTCACAGTGATCAAGCAGGATTTATTCCTGACAATCAAGGATTGTTCGACATAAATGTGATTCAAATCAATAAATGCAATACACCACATTAACATAATGAAAATAAAAATAACATGATCACTTCAGTAGAGCCCAGAAAGAATTTGACCAAATTCAACATTTTTTTTATGATAAAAACCTTTCAACAAACTGCAGGCAAAGGAACATACCTCAACATAATAAAGACCATATATGACAAACCCACAATTAACATCATACTCAATGGTGAAAGGTTGAAAGTGTTCACTCTAAGATCAGGAGCAAGACAAGGGTGCACACTCTTACCACTCCTATCCATCATGGTATTGGATATCTTAGCCAGAGCAATCAGAAAAGAAAATGAAATAAACCCTGGCCGGTTTGGCTCAGCGGTTAGAGCGTTGGCCTGCGGTCCAGAGAGACCCGGGTTTGGTTCCCGCTAAGGGCATGTACCTTGGTTGCATTTTGTCCCGGGCCCTGGTTGGGTTGTGTGGATGGCAGCCACTTGATGTGTCCCTTTCACGGCGATGTTTCTCTCTCTCTCTCCCTCTCCCACTCTATCTGAACAACAAATGGAAAAATGTCCTTGGGTGAGGATAAAAAAAAAAAAAAAGAAAGAAAAAGAAAATGAAATAAAAGGCATTCAAATCAGAAAAGAAGAAGTAAAATTGGGGAATGGAGGATACAAACTTTCAGTTATAAAATGAATAAGTTCTAAAGATCTGATGTATAGCATGGTGAGTATAGTTAATAATACTGTATTGAATACTTGAAATTTGCTGAGAGAGCAGATTTTAAGCATTCTCACACACACAATAAAAATAACAATGTGAGTGGAGAAAGTGTTAATTAACATGATTGTGGTAATCATTTTGTAATGTATACATATATCAAATAATCACGTTGTACATTCTAAATATATTATAATTTCATTTGTCAATTATACTTCAGTAAAGCTGTGGATGGGAGGCAAAGCTCAATAAACTCAGAAAGTTGTTTCTTTGTTTTTAAGGATTTTTTTGGGTAATAGTTTATTGATTTTTAGAGAAAGAGGAAGGAAGAGAGAGAGAGACGTGAGAGCACATTGATTGGCGGCCTCCTGCATGCCCCTCACTCAGATACAAAAACCTGTGCTGTTTCCCCTACAGAAGACATGATGAGTTGGAAGCTTTCATTTGGAAATCTTGACTCAAGCTCAAAAGAAAGGGTAAGATTGGAAACAGGATCTGGGAGTCATAGGCATCAGAGTGATATTTAAAGCTAAGTGAGTAAATCAGCTCCCTGTGGGAATGCAGACTATAAAACTGTAGCATCATACATTTTTCCTAAAATAATGAAGCTTGGCCTAAATTGAGATCAGAATTAACTTCTCATTTTTATTTTTTATTAGAAATGGTTGATATAAGGTCTAAAATCATTAGTTACGATTTAAATTTATCTATCTGTAGTAATAAATGATTTTTTAATTCCACTTGTTCTGTGCCAGAAGACCTTGAAAATGTTTCTGCACTTGTAGTTCAGGAATCTTAGCCATCTGCAAAGAACACCCATTCCTTCATGTGAGAAAGATTATATTATATGATAACTATGCTTCTAGAGCCTACGTGCCAGAGATCTTAAATGTTTAGATTCAAAAGCTAACTTATATACACATGGTGCTCAGTGTAACTATTGAATCACTGAATGAATGAATGAATGAATGAATGAATCAATCAATCAATCAATCAATCAATCAATCAGGGAGGTAGGATGGCATCTGGTATTTTCTACTAGCTGTACTTTCCCACTCATCAAATCAAACTGGGGGGAAAATGGATGAGAAAAGAAAGGGTAAGGGCCACATGTTGAAGGAGCTGTGTCATAAAAGACTATGAGAGAGTCAAGGCATCAGCAGTGCCAGTTCAGCCCAGAGGTCGCAACCAGCACAGGGCTGGGCAGAGGCTCATTCACCCTTCCACCCTCTACCACAGGTGACAGGCCAGCCTTGGCTCCCTGAGAAGTCAGATGTGCCTACAGAGCAGGGCTCCTTGAAAGGCAACAACAGGCAGGAGCTTGATGAAGAAGAGGCCAGAGATGAATAAGGTAAGTAGATTTCCTAGATAACTGTGAAATATTTGGAAGGAAGAAATTCCTAGTTGAACAGAAGGGAAATAAAATCTATTATATTTTGGCCCTGGCCAAGTGAGGCTCAGTTGGTTGAAACATTGTCCTGTATACCAAAAGGTTGCAGTTTGTGGGTTCAATCCCCAAGTGATTGATGTTTTTCTCTCTCTTCCTTCCTCTCTCTCTGAAAATCAATAGAAGCATATCCTCAGGTGAGGATTTTTAAAAATCTATTATATTTTGAACACTAAATGTTCATGTGCCTTCATTTGCATGACAGGCTGTGAAGACGACGATTATTCCAGGTTGCATAGGAACAACTAAAATCAGCCTAAGAAAGGTTATGCAACATAAGGGAAGG